AACCCTGGTGACGGGAATCAAACTCACATTTTTTGATTCCAGATCTAGCATTCTTTCCACTGTGAAACATTTTGTATTTACAAAGTGTCATTTTAAATCTCAAAGTAATGTATATCACTAACTGATTCTCTGTACCTTCCCATGAGGTAGCAAGGTAGACAGGACAGACATTCCTTAGGATTCCTGCATGGGTGCAAATATAGTTGGTTATGCCAAAGTGCCCTTCTCTGGCTACCACTCCCCTATGTGTGTTGTCTCATCCTACTAGAATGTAAACTCTTCGAGAACAGGGACAGTATTTGCTTTTTTATTTGTGTCTACAGCTCTTAGCACAGTGCTCAATATATAGTAAGCACTTAATGAATGCCTTTTCATTCATTCATTCATTCATTTGGAATAGAAATGAATAGAATTATAATTCAATACAAGTATAGTATAAGACAATAATTCAAGGCCAGGATGATTTTAATCCTTAACTCATTAACTTAACTCATTAACTGCTCACTTTCATTTTGCTCATGGTGATGAACTTATGTTTATACATCTATTAAATAAGGTTCCACAACCCTTGGATTCATGTTTACCCTGCTGTTTTTTTTTTTTTTTAATGAGTTCTCCATTTTATAAGTGATTGCTGGTTACAAACTACCAGGTTTGGGTCTGTCTTCAAAGTTGAAATGTGTCTTTGAATTAGCTTTGAACTTGCCCATCTTCATCAATTCATCCCTGGCCTAGATAATTTTCTTCCTTCTTCCCTCTGGCTGTGCACAGCTGAATTCACTGGGCATAATGCCATTAAAAATGTGTTTACTGTGCTTCAACAAACCATATGGTGCTTTTGAAAAGGCTTTTATAATTATGTTTTCAAGAATTCAGGGAGAACCCAAACTCTTCCTCTTTAAATGATTAAATTAGATGTTTGCTTTTTAATTATAGCAACTAATACCCCAAAGGAGATCTTAATTCAGGTGTAAACATGGAAGGAAATCAAGATTTGGGATGGAATATGAATTTAATGTACATAGAAGCGAAAAGGGCATCTGTTTTGATAACAGCCAATAACTTAATCAACTTTCCCAAAAGGACAATTCAAGATCTATAAAATTTTATGAATAATACATATTGCTTTAAGTTTTGCAAAGCGCTTTACAAATATTTTCTCATTCTATCCTTTCAGCAGCCTTGGAAGATAGGTGCCATTATTATACTTATTTTACAGATGAGGAAATGGGGGCAAACAGAGGTTAAATGATTTGTCCAGGGTCACGCAGTAAGTGTCTGAGGCTGGATTTGAATTCAGTTCTTTCTGACTCTAGTTCCAGCACTTTACCCACTATGATGGCATATTTTCAGATATGGAAGAGATTTCAGAACTGTGTACTTACTTGTTTCAGCAGCCTATATGCACTTTTAAAGTGTCCAGGTTCTAACAAGTACAAAATATCTTCATTCTGATTCAATTTATTCATTTTTCAAAAAAATGAGACAATTCAATGTAATTTTGAAATATTTGAACAAAAACTGAACAATAATTTTGAACACCAAATGAAGTAGTGCCCCACTTTAAAAAACCTCTATAAAAGATCAAATTAGGGGATGAATTTTCACACAGCTCCTTTAAATGAAATGTTGTCAACTCTCTAAGTAAAGTTAAATGATGACTTCCTATGCTTTCATCTTTCGGGGATCTGTGATTTCATTGGTGTGAGTGCTCTTTCCTTTAAAGTCCATCATTAGTGTTCTGCTTCTTGGTTGATTGTCTTTATGATTCAATTGAAGGTTAGTTTCCCCATGATTTACTCATCCACATTTAACCAAGCTGGTCTTCACACAACAGACCCACACATTGTTTCTAGGACCATATTAAAAGCCTGCTGCTAACATGCTAGTGGTTTTCAAAACTTTCATTTTTTTATTTTTGTGGCACATTGAACTATTAACTTGGCAACATTCTGAAAGTCAGAGGAGTACACAAGCTCAAACTGAGAATGGAAATTTCTATTTAGTGAGGGCAGCTGTCTTTGTTGAACTGTTTGTAAGTTCAAAGTTGAATGTGTTTTAAATTTAGTAGGAATAGGTGCCGAACCTGTAATTTTGTTCATATAGGGAGTCCCAGATGAGGAAATGCCCTTTATCAGTGCTGGTTGGTACCTTCTCCTCACTTCAGAGGAGTCTTAGAGCAGGGGTTCTTAAACTGATTTGGTGTCATGGACCCCTTTGGCATTCTGGAGTTTATGGACCTCTTCTCAGAATTATGTTTTTAAACACAGGGAACCAATTATATTGAAATACAGTTACTGAAACATTTTTTAAAAGTATATAACCTAAGTTAAGAACTCTATCTTTGAAAATTACTTAGAGCCTTAGAGGTAAAGGACACATAGCTAGTATGTGAAAATGGTAGAACTTGAACTCAGGTATTCCTGGCTCTGAGACCAGCTCATTCCACTATGCCAAAGCTGCCTCTACATAAGTTGCCTTATAACAGAAAAGTTTTGTTTATTTTGTTGATAATAGACTTACTATACTTACTATGCTGGGTAAGTAAAATTTATGTTATATTCATATGTTTCTATATCTGAAAGGCGTGTAACAGAATCCCCAGCTCCTGTACAAATATCTGAGGTAACATGTATATTGGGTAGAGGAAACCCTTATTTCTCACACCACATAAAATGCAGCTGGTCACAGCCGCCAGTCAATTGAACTTATGGAAACCTCAGTCTTACAGACCCAATCAGCAGCTGTCATTGTTCTTTCAACAAGGTACCAAGGCAGCAGAGGTGACAGCCAAGGTAGCTCTGGGACGTTGCAATGACTGTGGAGGGTGGAACTTTGATGACACAAAGGTGACTTCAGGATAGAGCAGCAGTACAGAGGTAGAGCTAGCGTGATTGACACCACAGAGCCAGCTTGCCTAGTGACCTGAAAGGATAGGAAGCTGCAGGAAAGGTTTTCCAGCAGCATTTTGGAGGGTCCCTCCCTCTAGCCTCTCAGGAGGCCTCAGATGAGAAGACAAAGAGCTGGGGTAGAATTGTTCTAGCAACAACACAAGGCAGCTCTCCTTCAGTGATCTCCCCTTCAGTTGTCTCCTTCCCACAAACAAAGATTTTTGTGGTATGGATTTTCCTATTTATTTATTTTTAGTATGTTTCATTAAATGCTTTATCAGATGATAAGGCTTTCACTGAATGAGGCTTGAGTGAAATATATTTCCTTATCCTGAGGCACAGGGCAGGGCCTGGTGACAGAGAACACAATTCTCTGTTGCTTTAGTTTTATATTAACAAAATAACGTTGGGTTACCTTGTTTCTTCATGTGGGACATCCCTTCTACCTTCTCTGACCATTCATTCAGTTCCTATTTTTAGAGCTTGAGCAACATGCTTTTCTATGATCAAATTAGATATAACTGTTGTTTTTAGCTACTTCTTACAAATATTACTAATGCCCTGCTATAAAGTAAGCAAGCAAATAAATTTTTAAAAAGTAATTAATTTATTTATTCATTCATCAAACATTTATTTTAGAAAACTATATTAGGGATAGGGAGAGATGCAAGGTTTAGAAAAGGCAAGGTTTCTACTCTAATGGGGCTTATAGCCTAGTACAGATATAAGATGCAAACACAGAACTGAATTGCTGGTTCAGTACAGATCCATTTGTAGGCACCTGACAAGAGAGAACAGATAACTGTAAAAAATGTTATCTTCTAATTTACTTCTCATTTTTCTCTTCCACCTCTTGATAAATTACCAAAGTAGTTCAAAGGTTCTCTGGCTAAAGAAACAAACTTATTGGAGTCTCTATTGTTTGAAGTTAAAAAGAGATACTGGATAATTCAAACCCCATTTAATTCAAAGTTAATTTTTTGGGGGGTTTTGATCTCAAATTAATGTTTTTAGTCATCACAAAGTACCCTAGCTTGCTCATACTTTGCTTTACTTTGAATCAAACTTTCCATAAGAAGTATGTGTTGATGATTTCTATAATTTTTCAGTTGACTTTGAAATTACTGAATGACAGATGACATAATTCTTAACCTCTGGAAACAGATACTCCTACCTTGAGGCTTTCCTAGTATGGTTAGTAGTATTCAGCTAGTCTAACACAGTTATCCTTAGCTTCATGGAATAGATGTGCTATGGAAAAACTGTCTATAAAACATCTTTCCATGAATGAATTCTATAAGAATAAATTCTTATTTTTTTCCCCACTGTTCACTGTTAGAAAAATCAGGCATAAGATTCTCCAGCTGAGAACCTGTGGTGGAGAAGAGGTGACCAGCCCTGTTGTATGTTGGGCAAGATGATGTACTGGTACTGACCACTGTGAAGCTTCTGAAGTACTTTCTCAACTCCAGGATTTCACTTCCAGCCATGAAATATTTTATACACTAATAGTTAGCACCATCATATGATTTTGGGGAAAATCTTTGGGACTCACCAGTTCTTGGTGATTGTTTAATTCCTTATTGGAAATAATCTGTAATGTTGAATACTGATTAAGTCATGAAAGGCAGCATGGGATAGTGGAGAGAGAGCAGACCTCCAAGCCAGGAAGACGTAGGTTGATATCCTGCCTCTGAGTGTGACCCTGGCCAAGTCATTTAACTCAGTGCCCCAACCAACTCTCTGACTATGAGTTGCAGAGAAGGTTCCAATCTATAATGGTAGAGGAAGTTACTCTAACCATTTACCAGTGAAGTCACAAGTCTAGTCTAGTCTGCATCTGTAGCCTAAATAAGTCACGTAAAAAAAAAAGTAAATCATCTTTGAATTGAAGCATTTCAGTGGAAGTAAAAATGCTCTCTTTCAAAGTTTCCTAAGTTCAGACTGACTAAATGTATTTTCAAAACAAATTATTGTTCACTATTCACTATTTGGCTGCAACACAAGAAATTTCAATCTCATATGAAAATTCTTAAGAACTTCCAAGCAACTAAATAAAGGGGTTTGGAATGTAATCTAATTGCAATAAAATGACAACAACAACAAAAAAACTTTGCAGTCAGCCATTTTATAAAAAAAAATCATAATGGTGCACTGTAATTTTTGACAGTCACTAAAAGACTTTTCAGGAATCTAACATCCATGATTAAATCTCTAACAAAGCATGGGTATAATATAATCACCAATTTCTTCTTTGTGAAATACAAAAATTGACAGTGAAAATCCATGAGTACAATGATTCTTTTTTGCTCTCTTCATAAAGATTCTTTTATAAGTTCAGCCAGTCTCTGAAAAGCCTAAAGTGAAAATGAAGAGATTGTCAGGGGAGAGAGCTCTGTCATAACTTTGTAAGTTCAACAAGGAATTTCCTTTTCCTTCCCTTCCTTTTCCTTATCTTCCTTTCTCCTCCTTTCTTTTCCCTTCCCTTCTTTTTCATTCCCTTCCCTTCCCGTTTTTGATTATTTGCATCTAGGTGGCACACTGGACTTCAGAAGATCTGAATTAGTAAGTGTGTGACACTGGATAACACTTAACCTCTCTTAGCCTCAGTTTCTACTTCTGTAAAACACACATACACACACACACACACACACACACGCACACACATGCACAGACACTCAATGGGGGTCCGGGGGAGGGAGAGAGAGGATCCCTCCATGCACTACATTTGCAGAGGGGAATGACAGGTGTCTTGAGTTCCTCTACTCTGACCAAGCACCTCATGGGTAGAGTGTCCTTTGGGGAGCAACTGATTTTAGTCAGTTACGGTTATTGAAATAGTATCAAAGGTTACTGGACATACAATCTATATTGAACTTCATACTCAAAGCCTTTCTAGCTTAGCAGGATGGACAGAGCCAGTCCACTGCTCTAGCCCTCAGGAACCCAGGGCCACCTTGACACCATGAAGCATTGGAAGAGGACTTTAGTGGACAATATATCTAATGCTTTCTGATTCTCTCCCCAGACCAGTATAACAAAGAAGTGCTATGTGGATGTTTCATCAACTGGTACTTTCATTTCATCAGAAAACTAAGAAAATATCTAATTGGGCTATAAGTCCAAACACATTTATAAGAAATAGGACTGAGACAGATCTATTTACCATAGAGCAGAGTTAGTAACCTTTTTGTGTGTGTCATGGACCCTTTGGCAGTCTGGGAAGTCTACAGATTCCTTCTCAAAAGAATCTTTGTTGGCTATTCCCAGTGGTGCTTTCTATTTGATTTGGAGATGAAACCTTCCATATATGTTGTCTCCCCTGTTAATTACGATATGAGCTCCTTAAGGGGCTGCCTTACTTATCTATTTGTATCCCCAGTGCTCAGCACAGTGTTTTGTGCATATTAAACACTTAATAAATGTTTTTTCATTTTTTCATTCATACATTCATAATGGAGGAAATGCTAAATTTTGGTTTAGAGGTTAGTGAAAATAAAAGATATAATTTTTCCCCCTGAAATCTATCAATGGATCCCTTGGGAGGGGGTTCCCAGGTTAAGAATCCTTGACTACTGAATAAACTATATTCACCTGGTCCATTTGTTCTGGAGAAGACAGAGAAAAGGAAGTTCTGACGTAAGAACTGGGCTTTGAGTTATCAATGCTGAATGCATCCCCAGGAACTAGTAATACCTAAAAGAGTAATGTATGTTAATTAAAATGATTCAACTGAGTATGACCCTTTAAAAGGGTTCTATTAGAAAAGCAATATTCTGGAGAAGATTAAAAGGGAAATTGAAGCTTCTGAGGGATAGTAGTCTGATCTCAAATACTTGGACCCCTGAAGCCCAAAGTTTAAATATAACTTAAAGTTATAAAAAATGTCCAAAAACAAGTTATATTAGAAATTACTATGATCAATGAAAGCATTTGTTAAATGCCCAGCTGCAAGTCATGCTGAGCTAGATAGCATATGAAGGTGCCTTCCCTTCAGAATGTGTGATCTAAAATAAATACTGAAATTTACAGTTATCATTGGGACATCAAGGTGAATATAAAAAATTAAGTGGCTAAATACACTGATGAAAGAAGTCTCCTACTGGGTGAGTGTACAAACAGGGGGTTGAGGGGCCTGTCTTTTCTCTTTGAGGTGGGAACATTTCAGGAACTGTTAGAGTAACTAAAGCAAGTTTGAATTAGAGTGAATTAGTTGCTCCACATTTAAGCTGTAATTTGGGCAGACCTGGAGGAGGAAGTGGGATGAGTACATGAAAACACATTAAGCAAATTGGGCCAAGTGAAGAGGGACCAACCCATACTACTCTAGAAAGAATATTCTACATTGCACGTCACCACTTTCTGCCCTCCCATTCTTTATCTAGTTTGGATTCCTCACTTAACCTGACAATTGAAATTAGTGCAATGTACTGGAGAGCGTGATGGACTTGCAGTCAGAAAGACCAGACTTTGAAACCCACCTTTGATATTTACTAGCTATCTGGTCATGGGAAAATCACTGAACATCTTTCACATCTGAACATCTCTCAGATGCCTCACCTATAAAAATGAAGTTGTATCTGATGTCCTAGAAGGTCTCTTCTAACTCTGAATTTACATTGTATGATTTACCAATAATCAACCAATAGTCAAATCCAACTTTCATTGCCCTTGAGCTCTCTACTTCATGTGGCACCATTCAACATCTCTTCCTTCTTGAAACTGTAGCTCCTTGGTTTCCATGATGCTACATCATACTGGTTCTCCTAATGGTACTTCCTCCTTTGTCTCCTTCCCTCTGTACCTCCTCTTTGTTCTTTCATTCCCTAAAGGATCAAAGATCGTAGACTTAGACCTTAAAAGGCCTCCCCACCCCCCAATCATCAAGTCCTACTTCTTTCTTTTATATTTGGTGAAACCAAAGTCTAGAGACATGACTTGCTAAGGGTCTTATTAGTTAATGTCCAAGGTAGGATTTGAACCCAGGTCTTTCTGACTCTATGTCTAGTACTCTATATACTTCCCCACATGCCTCTCAAAGTACTTAATGATATGATTGAGCAATAACTGTTTTAGGATTTACAACCATAAAGTTAGCAAAAATGGGAAATTTTATGGTCACTTAAATAAAGGATTTAAATTTTTTGTTAAGATTATCATTGTTATTTTTACCTCTTTCTGTAAGGCCTTTTCCATAACTAGCTGTTTTGTATCAGAAACACCTTTAATCTTAATCCACAAAAACATCCCAGCAGCAGGAGCATGCCATTCTGCCAAACCTAGAAACAAAACGTGGAGGTTAAACACCTTTCATTATCTTCTGCAGTGATGGTATCAGGGAAACTGCTTGATGATACTTAGCTAATTCACATGTATTTTGTTTCCCAAAGCTTTCCCCCCAAATATAACATGAAAAAACATAATTTTCAAAGTTTTGTTAAGTGACATCCCAGATTTCATTTTGGTCAGTGTTTAAATCATCTTTGTGTGAGTCCATTATCCAGAAGAAACAATTAAACTATTGGGGTTTTTTTTTATTAGTTCATTTGTTTCCCCCCCCTCCCCACCACTAAGTATTAGAACAAATAGTTCTAGGATAAAAAAAATTCAACTTTAAAAAATAACTTTTGCAAAAAAGAAAATCTTGGCCTTCATGAAAATGTGTTGTGCTTTCTCTTCTCCCACGCCTGTCATTCAGACTTATCAGAGTGACATCATTATTCTTGTCAAGCAGGAAAGATTTCTATCATTACCAAGATTTCCCTGGGGACCCAATACTACACAATTTATTCTCTCAAGTTTACGGCTTAACTATAATTGAGAGAAAGGTTTTATTTTATAAGTGCACCACAGATGGTCATATCAACCACCCATCCAACTCACTCTTTTGTTGGGAAACGTGACTCCAATGATATTTGAATGACATACCAACAAAGATTAGCAGACACGCATATGCATTTAATGTTTGACATAAGATGTAAACAGGCCAGCAGGATTTAAATCACTGGAATGAAAGTTCTCAACAGGTAACTTAAATTGGACTGTTGTCTGAGGTCCCAGGAAATGGTACAAACTCTTTTTAAAAGGGTTGTCGCTATTTAAAGTAGAAGCTACTTCTCATAGAGCCATAGATTCTCACAGCTAGAAGAGGGTGGGGGTAGGAGAGGGGTGTTTGCTTCTTTAACCTCACAGAATCATAGACTTTCAGCTGCAAGGGACCTCAGAAGGTCCCTAGTCCAACCTGCACCCATGCAACATAACCAACAAGAGGTCATCCAGACTTTGCTAAGATTTCCTGCAAGGAGAGAAGGCACACTATTTTAGAAGCAACCCATTCTCCTCCCGGCCAGCTGCAAATGTTGTTTCCTTAAATCAATTCTAAGCGGCAGCTAGGTGGCGCAGTAGATAGAACACTGGCCCTGGATTCAGGAGGACCTGAGTTCAAATCTGGCCTCAGATACATAACACTTACAAGCTGTGTGACCCTGGGCAAGTCACTTAACTCCATTGCCTAACCAAAAACAAAACAAAATAAATCAATTCTAAATTTGTCCTCACAAATTCTACTAACTGTTTCTAGTTTTGCTGCTCTCTGGGGCCATGTATAATCAATCCGGCTCCTCTTCCTTATGATAGCCCTTTAAATACTTAAGACAATAACCACCACATCGTCTGCTCTCCAGGCTAAATATTCCTAGTTCCTTTAGCTGATATCTGTATAAATTGATTTTGAGGCCACTCACCACCCTGGCTGCCCTCCTCTGAACTGCTCTATAATTCTGCTTGCACTACAGGTTATCAAGGCCCGTCCTGTAATGTGGTTCCCAGATCCAAACCCAGTATTCCCCACGTAATCTCAGTGGGGCAGAGTACAATGGGATTCTTACCATTCTTGTCTTGGACATCTTACTTTATATCTTCTGATAAGTAGAGTCAATTGCTCTTTTTCATATGCTGTCTTCTACTTAAAAGTAATTAAAAAAAACCCCCAAAATTCTAGCAATAGACATTGAACATAATTAAAAAAAAGGACAACCTGTGGTTCTACTTAAATTTTAGTAAATGTTCTAGATAGCTCTTTAGATACTAATAAATAATGGTCAAGAAAATGCAATTTTTAAAAACAAAGCTAGAATATCTTAGTAAATGAAAGATAAAGTGCAAATGGATGAGATTGTGATGGATATTAGCTCTTTATTAATTTCCAGATAATTTCGAGGAAAAGAAATTTTATAGTTGAGGCTTTTGTTGTTTTGTTTGGGCCTACAGTTCTTACCAATGGGGATCTGGGCTCAGCCCAAGGGTGTAATTATTGTTTATTGCTAAAGATGTGATACACAATCCACTGACCTTTGAGCCACTTGTCTGCAGCTGCCAACATGGCATCTCGCCGCTCCTTATAGAAGGCTATCACCCTAAAAGCCCAATATGAAAAAGTCAGAACATTCCTGGAAAAGGTTATAGAGGCTAATAGGTCTCTGCAGCACAGTTGATAAGAAATTGCTCTGGTTTCCAGATTTCATCAAAGCATAGAGTGCTTGCTTGGTAAAAGAAGATAATAAACCTATTTGTCTATGGAATAGCCACAAAATGATGAAGGAAAGGGCAAAAACGCGCACCCTGAAAACAAGGTCACTTTAGAAGCAGCACAATCAATCACTGGTAGGAGAATGAGGAAAACTATATTATGTTCTCAGGTCCATAACTAGTGACATTAGTGACTCAGAAACCAGGTCTACATAAACAAAGTAATTACCCTGATTATTCAGACAGTCTGCCTCCTCAGCCCACTTTCTTTTTATAGTTGCTTTTATATAAATTTTTGTGTGTGCAGCACTCACAGCCAAAAAAAAAGTGTTCTTCCCAAATTCCTAATGCCATTTTAAGCTATTAAAGCTATATCTATCATACACCCAGGGGAGAGAATCCATTATCCTTTGGATGTTAAGAGTTTTCAGCTAAGCATGGAAAAACCTGCTATTAGATGCTGACTTTGAAACTGTTCATGGAAAATCTATATACAATTATTCCATTAACTGACACTTTTAAAATACCTTTATGATCTTATTTTGACAAGCACTATGGAGTAGTGGAGAGAGGAGGTCAGGAAAACCTGAGTCCCAGTCTTGCCTCTGACATAAACCTGCAAGGTGACTGACCCTAGCCAAGTCATGTCAAGGTCTAGTGCCCCAGGCAACTCTCTAAGAGGAAGAGTTGCCCATGTGCATCAGTGGAGAGTGTTTCCATACTAGGAATTCCCCACATCGAACAATTCACAGATCCAGATCAAAAACAACCAAAAACCCAAAAAAATGGTCCCAGTGTTTCAGTAGCATCTTAAATGAGATAAAGTGATAAGAAGTGTCAGTTGGAAGGGTTACTCCCTTAAAACAAGCTTTTGCCAAGTCTCTGAATTATTCTGACTGCCCTCTTTACATACAAAAAGGAAGAACAACAAGAACTTCCACAGAGGTGTTAAAAGGCTCCTATAGAAATCTGATGCAATTTTCATGCTACCACTACAACAGGAACAAATGTTCAACATTCATTATAATTCTCACACAGGTGGAAACATCCCATTATGAGTGCTGAGGCCCTGGGCTTACAAACCTCTTAACCAAAATGTCAATACCTGTTTACATGGTTCAGGAAACCCTCTTCTCCCCATTGTTGCAGGAGCTGGGTTATCAGCAGCTGAAAGAGAGAAAACAATGGTCAGGGTCATGGCACATAGTAGGCACTTAATAAATGCTTATTGACTGACTAAAATTTACTATATCTCACTGCAAAAGGACTGTTTACATTTTTTTTCAATTGGCTAAATGTAAAAATTGAGGATGGTTATTAATCATCTCTAGTGAGCTCTGGTTCTGAAGGCTAGCTTAACATCTTCCTTTTCTTCCTTAGTAAGCCTCCATTTTTCAAAGACATTTTGCTCTTAATTGTTTTTAAATCATTGAGAAAAACTGTTAAAATTCAGTCTGTGGAATAGTTTGGCTGCTAGATTTTCAGATCTACACTGCCCTGAACCAGAGCTCACTGTAGCTATCCAAGCCCCTAGTACCTGAATTGACAAGTGAAACATTTAACACTGGATCAAACCAAAAGAAGTAGTTTCATTCTAATTAATTTAATTTTTTTCTTGGAAAGTGAAATTCATAGCTACATCATTTACACTTAAAAATGTCATAGGATTTGCAGTTGGATTATCCCTTGTAGGTTACTGAATGTGATCTATTCATTTTGCACATCAGGAAACAGAGAGGATAGGACACTTAAAGTCACAGAGATAGCAAGTAGCAGAGCCAGTATCTAAGCCTAGGTCCTTTGACTCTAGATCAAGTGCTTGTTCTAGGCTTAAAGCTAGAACTTTTTTTGAAATGAGGCAAAGGAAAGATGTCAGGGTTGCTGACAACAACAATATGAAAGCTAATTATATTACTATCTATACTAACACACAGAAGTAATGCCTGAGAAGAAACCACTAAAGCTCAGGGTTCAGATGGAAAAAAAATCTATTTTTTTTTTTTTGGAAAGGCCAATATGAGAATTTCCTTTGCTTGACTATGCATGTATGTAATTAGGGTTTTTTCCCTTTCTTTTTCAATGGGGAGTGGGAGGCAGGAGGAAGAGAAAGTAGATTTTAATTAAAAAAAAACAAATACATTAAAAATAAATAAAAGTAAAATGAGATAGTGAGGTATTGCTTCATTTGTGTAGAGTACATTTAGAAGGGAGGGGGCTTGGAGAGCCACCTGGATTCAGTGATTGATGCACACATAGCATTTGTAAAGTTTGCAAAGAAACTTTACAAAGATTATTTCATTTGAACTTCGTGATAACTCTGTGAAATAGGTGCTATAGATATCATCACCTGCACTTTACAAATGAGAAAGCTGAGGCTCAGAGTCATTAAATGGCTTGACCATAATCACATGTGGACCAACTAGTAAATGTCAGAGGTGGGATTTCAACCCACATCTTCATGACTCCAAGTCTATCCACTACTCCATGTTATCCTCACTTCTCCAAGACCACATAGTTTACAAGTGGTAGGGTAGGGGCTAGAACCCAAATGTTCTCATGTGTGCAAGAGTCCTTCCTGGAAACCCCCCTGCCTGTCACTCTATTTGCAAAAAATCTGTTTTCCATGTTCATCACAAAAAGATTCCATTTAGTTAATGGTTCCTTACCTGTGTAAAAGTGCTGGTGTGCATTGTTGAAACTTGCATGTGCAAAACAATTTGATCAATCAGAGGTTTGGGACCAGTTATAAAACCTACTCTCAACCTGTGGAAGTATAGAAAAAATATTACACAAATGACAAAAATTTGAATCATTGGTTTCATAACTTAACGAGCTACTGAATTCCTTTAGAAGGCCCATTTTGACTCTAAGGCCACACAGTATCTTCAAGGATGTGGATTCTAGAAGGGTAAAGCATCCTAATCACATTATTTCACATTTCATTTAAAGTATGAATTTAAATTTAAGTATAAATTTTTAATGAATGGTTTAACTATGTCCCAGCATTTCGAGAAGTACATCAAATATATATGAAGCTAAAAAATCCAGCAGCTAAACTATTCCATAGACTGAGTTTCAACAATTTTTCTTGATGATTTAAAAACAATTAAGAGTAAAATGTCTTTGAAAAATGGAGGCTTACTAAGGAAGAAAAGGTAGATATTAATAATCAGACAGATTTTCATTCTCAGGGTATTTTATTAAGATAAGTGGGTTGTAAAATGTGCAAACTTGAAGAACAGCATTTTCATGGTTGACTTTTCTAAAACAAGAGACCTGGTCAGGTTTCATAAAGCCCCTTTCTTTTCTTATTTCAGGGTGACTAAAAAATTATTGCCTCAGCAAGTGTCTAGCTTCAAGGAGGTGAGAATGTACATCCCATGGCAGTAGCCACAGGACTGAGTTACACTAAGACAGGCTTGTAGATTTCAGTGGTAACAACAACGACAATAAAAATAAATAACAGCAAGCATTTATATAGCACCTACTATGTACCACATATCGTATCTTCGTACTTCACAAATGTTATCTCATTTGAGTCTTACAACAATACTGGGAAGCAGGTGCTATTATTATCCTCATTTTACAGTTGGGAAACAAAGGTTTCCCATACAAAAAGTTAAGTGTCTTAGGCTGGATTTGAATTCATATCTTCCTGACTCCAGGCCCTGATTCTATTCACTGTGCCTCCTAGCCGCTGGTGTGTGTATTTCCTCTATCAAAGTAGACCATAATCCCTCTAGTGCTTGGTAGGAGTCCTCACGAGTTCCTATGGACAGAAAAATTCATCACTTGATGATCCTCCCTCAGGTGATGAGTCTCTGAGTTTAATCAGGATAGTTCTCAGACCACACACCTGGTTGGGTTTGCTGGACCCAGACTTGAAGCTCTTTCAGCTTATTAGTATTTGTTAAGAGGTTGTACTTTGTAGGCATGTGGTTTGAGAATCCAGGTTCACCTCAGGGTCACAATGATCTTGGAGCAAGACTTCAGTGCACGTCCATTAATACAAAGTTTAAAATGCCTAACAGGACGTTTCTTTTAAAAGTAATACTTGGTGCAGTGGATAGAGCACTGGCCCTGAAGTTAGGAGGACCTGAGTCCAAATCTGGTCTCAGACCAGACACTTGACACTTACTAGCTGTGTGACCCTGGGCAAGTCACTTAACCCCATCACCTAAAAACAAAACCAAAACAATGTAATACTTAAATAACAAATTAATCACTCAATCAAAAAGCATTTATTAAATGCTTGCCATGTGCTAGATGCTAGAGATACAAAGGCAACAGTGAAACTACTCCTGGCATCAAGGAGCTTATATTCTACTTGAAAAAACAAAAATGTACATATAAAAAAAACACACAAGGCAATTTCTGGGGTGGAGGGAGTAGGAAGAAGACAGGGAAAGCTCTCTTGGAGAAGGGGAAGCTTGAACCAAGTCTTGAAGGAAATGAAATATTCTAAGAGGTGGGTGTAAGGAAGGAGATCATTCCAGGAACAGGAGAGAGCTAATGAAGAGGCGCAGATATGAAGGGTGGAGTGTCATGTATAAGGAAATGTAAGAAGGCCAGTATGACCAGATGAGAGAGGGCATGAAAAGAACTAATGTGTAATAAGTCTGGAAAGGTAAATTAGGCCAGGTTGTGAAGAACTTTGAGTGTTAAACAGAGAATTTAATGTATTATCCTAGAAGTGATAGGTAGGTTACTGGGTAGAGGAGAGACATGGTCAGACCCACATTTTAGAAAGATCACTTTGGCAGTTATGTGGAGGCTAGATTGGAGGGGATAGACTTGTGGAAGGGAGACTAAACATAAGGCTACCGCATTAGTATAAGACATAATAAAGGTTGAACTAGAGCAGTGGCTGTGTGCATGAAAAGAAGATGAAGGATGTAGGTGATTTTATGGAAACAATAAGACTTGGTAACTAAATGTGGGGTAAGAGTAAGGAGTCAAGGATGCCACTGAGGTTTTGAAGCTGGATGAGTGGAACAATGGTGGTGACCTCAAAAGATGTTTGGAAGAGGGGACAGTTTAGGGAAAAGATAATTAGTTCTAATTTGGATGTTGAGTTTGAAAAGCGTATAGAATACCTATAGGCATAGTCAAAATGTTCAATAGGAAGTTGGTACTGCAGAACTGGATAGAGTTTAGGACAGGATATATAAAATTGGCAGTCTTCTAAATGGAAATGATCATTGAACATATAGGAGCTGATTAGGTTCTCTGGACCATGGAAAAAGAAGAGAAGAGGATAGTTAGGGCGCATGACACAGAAGTTGATCCAGGAAAGGTGAGTGAGGAATGGTCAAATAGGAGAACTAGGAGAAACTATGTCATGAAAACTTAGAGGTGAGTATCCAGGAGAAGAAGGTGATCAACAGTGCCAGATACTACAAAGAGGTCAAGAAGGATGAAGATTAAATGAACAAATTATGGTGTGCAAATGTAATGAAATACTATTCTATCATGCCGTAAGAAATGATGAGAGGAAGTTTCAGAGAAACCTGGGAAGTTTTGTGTGAGTAAAGTGAGCAGAACCAAGAGAATAATTTATATAACAACACTGCAAAGGCAAACAACTTTGAAAGACTTAAAAACGCTTATCAACATAATGACCAACCACCTTTCCAGAAGACTGATGATGAAACACATTCCCTGCTCCTGACAGAGAAGTGATGGATTCTAGGTGAAGAATGAGACGTGTATTTTATGGATATGGCTAATATGGGAATTTGTTTCACGTGACTGTTATAAGAGTTTCCTTTTTCTTTTTTTTTTTCAGTAGTAGAGTAAGACAGATTTTTCTTAATTGAAATCATTAAACATTTCTTAAAAAAAGAAATCCCTGGTAACCTTGGAGAGAGCAGTTTCAGTTAGGTGATGAGATCAGAAACCATACTGCAAAGTATTGAGAAGAGTGTGAGGAGTGAAAGTAGAGACAATGAGTGTAGACAGCTTATTTTAGGCATCTGGTTAAGAAAGAAAAAAGATCTAGAATGAGAGCATCTTAAGGTGGGGGAGACTAGGTGGATACAGGAAGCAGGAGAGGAACCAGAAGAAAGGGAGAGATGAAAGATTAGAGAGAGAGAGTGGGAATGCTAGTGGAGAAAATATGCTAGAAAAGATATGAAGAGAGGGGATAAAGGATTAGAGCTTGGTCTTAGTGAGAAAGGCTAACTCCTCTTCAGAAACTACAGTAAAGGAGGACAGAAGAAGCGAGGGGAGATGATGGCAGTGAATGAAAAGATGTATAGAAAGATGAAAGAACTCACAGTGAATGGCCTCAATTTTTGCTGTGAAGGTGGAGGTGAGGTCTTGAGCTAAAAGGGTGAGGAAGAGAGTTCTATAGAAGGCTTGAGGAGAGAAGAGAATATCTGGAATACATTCTATTAGGAGGAAGTAAAAGGATAGCCTGTGGCAGTAAAATCCCAATTGAGATTAGATAACAGGAATATGTAGTGGGTCCAGTCAATCCCAGGTTTGAGATTTCTCCCAGCTTTATTCAGCTGCAGTTGAGTAGGAGAGAGGGAGATAAAATGGTGGGAATAATATAGGGTGAGAGGTCATTAAGGTGTGACTGGTGATAAGACCAGGTAATAGGCATCTGAGAGTGGAGGATAATATAGAATTGAGCTGGTTAACTAAAGGATTCAGATTGGGAAGAGAGAAAAATGTTTCTAGTGCAGGAGAGATGGCCTAGGAAAGTACCAAGGATTGGAGGTGAAGGTGAGGTCAAAGAATATGTATGGGAGTGGTGAGGCAGAGAGAAAGTGGGAATAAGAAGAGGTTATAATCACATAAGGGAATTCTAGAGCTCTTGATCAAGGAAGTAGAACGACTGTGGATGACAGCAAGATCCAACCCTGTGTATAACTGAGGTGAAGTGGATGAGTAGGTTGACAAACTAGCAAATAAGAGTGTTTGAGGAAAGAGACCCCTAACAGGAGTTGGCATAGAAACAACAAACAATGGTAGTTTCAACATGCACATTATCTGAAAAATGATCTTACCCTGAAGACAGAATTTTTGAGAAAGAATCTGTTCTGATAACACGACCATCAGTGTCCATGGAAAGAAACGTTGGTGCCCAAGGCTGAAAAACAAAACCAAAAGTAATTATGGAACTGTACTAGGCCCTAGATAAGTGCTTTAGTAAGTTACATTTTTTTTCTTCTTCTGAGATAGCAAGAGAGGGAGCATGTTAGGATGGCATTCCTATCATTTCCATTTTCATTTTCCTGCTCCTGATAGGAGAGAGAAGCTGGACTTCATGTTCTCTTGTAAACACTTGGTCTTGTTCATGGTTTCTTTAGCAACATGCTGTATGTACAGGGGCGAGGCTGAGCAGAAGTTCCAGTTGTACATAAAACATAATTTTTATGAACTTTAGGGAGACTCCTAATAGCCTCTACTCATTCCACAGGGAATCAGATCAAGAGAAAGGGCTATGGGACAAGTTGAAAATGAAGGATGGTGGGCACATACAGAGTAGTGAAGAATCAGCTAGACAAATAAAACAAAGAAAATGGAAACTGGAACTGGCACAGCTTATAGAATGGACCTAAGACTACCCTAATCGATAAAAGATAAAGGAGTCCACAATTACAATGAGGATAAAAAGGGGATAGGCAAAGGAAGGCATGCACAGGCAAACTTTAGGGAGCAATAACTCAGATTTACATAGTGCTTTAAGGTCTTAAAAGCACTTTCCTCACAATAAGCCAGTGAAGTAAGTAATTGACAGCATTATTACTTCCATTTTACAGGTGAGAAAAGCAACTTGGGGATCTGGGAGTTGGTTGATATTTTACACAACATTAAGCATGAGCAAAAGTTAATCTGTTAGCTTACAGGAATGTAGAAAATAACATGGAAGATGGAAATGCTTCCTTCTTTACTTCCTCCCTCTTTCTTTTCTTCTTCTTCTCTTTCTTTCTCCTCTCTCTCTCTGTCTGTCTGTCTTTCTCTTTACCAGTGTGATTTCTTGACCTATAAGAATATCTATTATAATGTGGCGCTCTTGCTAAACTTTGTTTCCTGGTAACTGTCGCTATTCTAACTCCTGCCACTCCTTACTGCTTAGAAAACAACAAACAACAACAACAACAACAACTCTGTACTTTGGCTAAATAACAATAATAACTAGCATTTATATAGCACTTTAAAGTTTGCAAAGTTCTGTACAAATACTGACTTATATAACAACCTTATGAAGTAGTGCTATTATTATCTTCCTTCTCACCAAAGCCACCTCTAAAGTTCCCAGAACTTCTGTGACTACATTGGTAGAGAAAATCAATAGCAATTACTTGTTTAGACAGGCCCTTTCTCACTTTTGTTGTAACATTTATGTTATGATATTTTTGAATAATGACCTTATCTAGGGAGTTGTAGTCTTCCAAAGTCACAAAAGCTTAAGCTTAAGTCCTTGTCATTGTGACTAATCATCTCAATCACTTCAATCTTTCCTTAATCACAGGTCCTTATTGTTTTCCTTATTGCTAGCCACAGAAAATCTTCATAGTTAGACACCTGGCCTTTGAACGCCATATCTGGAGATAGCTCTCTTTGGTTCAATAGCTCTGCCATTAACCCATGTGTGATTTTGCATTCATGGCTGCAACTACCTCCTCTATCGTGGTAGAGATGTCAAAATCTAAGTCCCTGGAGTATGGAGATTTTCATATAATTTATGACTCTGTGCCATTGTTCAAACTGGCTCTTGTTGTTTCTAAACTCAAGACTATGATTAAGAACTTCAGGTTCCTTGGGGGACTCTGTCTTTGACATGGCAATGAAGAGCAGTGGCCTTCAGAGCTAATTAATGAGCACACTGAAAATCCATTTTTTCTACCATCAACCTTCAGGCCAAAGCATTGGCCATGGTGTAATAATACTTAAGAAACTATGAAGCACAGACCATAGTTTGGAGTCCATAAAAAATACCAGCTCTGGTTCATTCTGTCAGATCAAAATTTATGGGAAACAAGATGAGCTAGCTAAAAACTCAAGTCCAGAAACCCATGTTGTTTCCTATTTAATAGTTAAATAAGAACCCTATAATAAATAAAAATGCTACCAATTTCAGGACAGGGAGATAATATTATCCATCTCAGATAAATCATATGCCCTAGTTGTGTGACCTTGGACAAGTCATGTTACATTTCTGTGTTTTAGTTTCCTTATCTGTCATTTAAAGAGCGATACTTGTATTACCTACCTCTCAGGAGTACTGGAAGGAAGGTACTCTGTAAACCTTGTAAAAATATGCTCTGAATATTTGAGTTACCCATCCATGGATCTTTGATATCATTAACATGGATGATGCCTTTACTCATGCTGGTTGTAAGCAATTCATTTCTTTCCATAAATCTTCAACAAAGGTTTTACTCAAATGTGACAGAGATATCATTCTTCCCTCAACCTTCATGTTATTCCTTGAGATACACACACACCCCTTTCATGAAGTTTCTTATGGAACTTTTTGCAACTAAGTCATCTATGGTAACATATTGTGTACTAATTAAATTCATCATGTCTTTCCCTTATTCTTTACACCATGTGCCATTTTGATTCTTCTAAAATTATGGTGTTGCGGAAATACATGGTGAGTAACAGAATGTATTCTGTGGAGGAAATATTTTGATTGATAATAATAATAAGAAGAAGAATGCAGACTAACATATATATTCCACAATTTATAAGACAACAAGGAAAGGAATGGAGTGTGAATAATCTAAATTTAATAAATATGTCTTTAGTGCAAAGGTAATAATAACTTACAAGTTCATGATACTTTAAAGTTTTCTTTTTCTATTTAACAAATTTTGTTTCAGCAAAACAAACCAAAAAAGGAAAGGGAACCCTCACCGGCCCAAATATAATACCTGAAAATAATCAAGCAAAATATCATCAAAAAAGTGACTAGTAAATTCTTGCATACTAAACCATAAAATTTACCATTTGTGAAAATAAAGGAAGTTTGTATATTTTAATTTTAGCAAGATAGTACCATTAGCAACCTTGGTACTTAACTTGAAATTTATTTATTTAAGTAAGTGTAATCAATTCATATGTTAATTAAATAATTAAATAATAAATTACTACTACTAATAATAAAATAATAATTTTGGTTTTTTTCCACTTTGCATAATTTCATATGTTCTTCCACAAATCTTTGAATTGTTCATATTCATCATACTTAGTAGGTGTGTGGTGATATGATAAGTTGTTTTAAATCTACATTTCTCTGATTAGCAGCAATTTTGATTATTTTTCCATGTGGTTGTTAATATTTTTTGTACTTTCAAACACTGTTGATTCATATCCTTTGGCCACTTATCTATTGGAAAGTGTTTCTTAATATTCTAAATATAAGTCATTTCTGAATAGGTTTTGTATGCTAGAATTTTATTAGAGACTTTTGATGTAAATATTTCCCTCCAGTCTTGAGTTCAATCTGTTTAAATCCAGAGATATAATTATTACATTTGATTTCCTTCATACCTCCTCTACATTATTTTATATTATTTACTTTTATAATCTCACTAGTATCAACTAAATCTTGGACTCTGCACAAATGTATATACCCACATCCACACAAAACACAGACCAGGGGTTTCTACAACACTGACAAAATCTTTTCATACTTTTCATGCTTATCCTCCAGAGAGGTGTGGGGTTTAATCAGAGGCTTCTCCATTCAAGCCACAATAATGGTCTCTTCTGCCCTGCCCCACAAACTTGTCTTCTTCATTCTGTTCCTGTTTTGTAGGGATTTACACTCAATTTCTAGCCACTGGCTCTTCTCCATTCCTCATTAAGTTGAACATAAAAGGTAAAACATTGAAAAGATGACAACTTTTCTACTCCTTCAAGAGTGTGGCCAGAACCAGATTAAAAAGTAGTTCCTATCTGATTTTAATGTGTTTATATATTAATAATAAAAGAAATACATAAACGTGTGATTTTCTAAGTCAATATGTGGCCCACAAAGATCCTTACCTGTGGTTTATTGGTCCCCTTTCCATTTGAATGCGACACCACTGCTTTAAAGTCCCATTTAACATCTTAAGATTTGCATCTAAAGGACTCTAACTAGTACTGGATTCTTCTCCAAGGAGAGCTGAAAATTTTCAGTCATCTTAAAAATCTACTTGTCTCACAAGAAAAAAATTCTCTCTTTTTTTGTATTAGGCATTTTGGAGATAAACTACTTCAACACCACTGGGAATTTTTTTCTTTGGCTTCCTGAAATTATCTATTTAGGCTATTTATTTCTTCATACTTCTCTGGGAGACCAAGAAGTGTCATACTGTCTCAATAAGTTCTGTTCCTCAGCCCTATCACCTTAATTTATAGAGATCTCAAATCTTCTTTTTTCCGCTATTTTGATTTTATTTGTTCTGCCCACTGTAGTTTTGTCTTCTAGCTGAACAATTTTATTATTATGTAATAAATCTTCCTCAGAATGTTCCAAACAGTTGAGTCCCATGTTTATCTTTTTTGTTTTCTCTTTAATGATTTTAATTTGATCTTTATAAATATCAGATCTTCCTTTATGACTCTTATTGAACTTATTAACCATTTTGAAAGTTCATCTGGAAGATCCACTTTCATTTCTGAAGGGTTTTGTTGTCATTGTTATATTCTATCACTCCTTTTCCTCTTCTCTTTGATCTCATAAAATTTCTTTACTGTACTGGACATTTTTTTTTCATAATTCAGTTCTTCAGTCTTTTACTTTTCTGGGAGATTCCCCTCCCCCTTAAGATTTTTTTCCTTTCAGACTTATATGGTCTGATGCTGAGTGAAGTGAGCAGAACCAAGAGGACTTTGTACACAATAACAGCCACGTTATGCAATGACTAAGATTGTTAAACTGAACCCTTCTCAGCATTATGAGGATCTAAGACATCTCCAGAGGCCTCCGGATGGAAAATGCTGTCCACATCCAAAGAAAGAACTATGGAAGTTGAATCACTATCACTTATTTTTACCTTCGGTTGAGTTTTGTTTCATCTTTCTGATGGTTCCTCCTATTGGTTTTAATTTTTACTTACTTCACTAATGTGAAAATATGTTTAATGGGTATGTAAATGTAAAGCCTATATCAGATTGTGTGCCCTCTTGGGGAGGGTTGGGGGGGAAGGAAGGGGGAGAAAAATTTTCAACTCAAAAGCATATGGAAGTGATTGTTGATAAATCAAAATAAATTAATTTTTAAAAAAAACAAAAAAACCAAAAAAACAAAAACAACAAAAAAAGATTCCTTTCTTCTCTATTTTTTGGTTATTCTTGCATTTTATTTGGTTCAGTTGTTGATAAAGGGGATCTGGGATTAGTCATAACCATTCACTTTGCTATCTTGCCATCACGGCAATTTTCAAAGCACAATATCTCATGTGATCTTCATAATAACTGTCCATTGAGACAGAAAAGGCAGGTTTTATCACTGACATATTTTTTTAACAAACGACAAAACCAGCATTCCAAGGGATGAAGTTATTTGACCGAGGTCACACTGCCAATAATTGGCAGAACTAGCTGGTAACAGAACTTAGATTTCTTGACTCAGACCAGTGTTCTTTCCACTACATCACTATTTAGGAATCAGATGGCTGACAACAAATAAAGAATCTAAGTTATAGAAGTAGTTATGACTATAAAATAAGTATACAAGATAACCTACCATGTTGAATTGGAGAAAATAGTATGGATCATCTTCTATGATGAGAAAATCATATTTTCTTGCCAGCTAAAAATGTTAAAACAATATCATTATTTCTTAGGAGCTATTTGGAAGTTAAAGTCAATTAGCAACTCAATTTCTTACATCTGTATCTGTCCTATAAGATGTGAAAAACACCTATTGAGATTCTTTTTTAAACAAAAAAATTAACATGAGTATAAAGGCACCCTCTTTAAAAATATCTCTTAAACCTATAGAGCTGGAGACTCCATTCCAGTCCAACAGCCAATCAGTCAGTCAATAAGCCTGCTATGTGCCCTGGCACTGTGCTAAGTATGGGGGATACAAAGAAATGTAAAAGAAGTCCCTGCTGTCATGGAGCTCACAGCCTAATGGGATATTTTTTTACTTAATTATTTTAATTACTTACATTTTAACTTTTATTTCCTATTTTAAAAAATGTGCAGTGAAAAACCAGGGAGAACTGATGGATGCCTAAGACTAATATCACAAAGTATACATCCTAGCTTGGAAAGCTATATATTGAACTTACATACCAAAAAAAAGAAAAGCAAGATGTATGCAGTATAGATCTTCAGTTTCATTTATAATCCTCTTTTTCTGTTCTAAATTATGTACAGGGAAATGCCCATTTTATTTTTTGTCATAAAGAATAAAACAGTTAGGAAAAAACCCTAAAGTATGTTTCATCTTTGTTTTTTAATAGACATAATTCTTAATGACATGAGAGTCACGTAGTAGTCAAGGGAGGAGAAAGGTTAAAAACATAAAATACACCATCACATTACAAAGCAAACTTAGGGATAATTAATAATGAATGCTCTCATATGTATGCAGCTCAGGCACAGACCAATATCCCTGTAGATAAAAATCATCCACAGAAAATAGAAAGGGGGAAAAATCTCATAAATATTCAACTGTACTATGTTTAAGCTAATTATTTGTGGCTTTGGCTATAGCTAGTTTATGGACCAATAGCAGTAAGATAGTAGACAGGGGATTTCCTCTTCATGAGATTTCTCCCCCAGCTGCCTTAGCATTCAGACACTCACCAGGTGACAGGTATTCGTGTTATCTACTCATAGATTTAGAAATTTCCTCTCACTCAGAAGTTTTCATCTTATCTAAAAAATGACATTTCCTAAAAAATGATATTCCCTTTCCTTCCACTATGTCTATTAATCATGAGGTAAGAAGCTGCATTTCTAGAGCAAGGAAATAACTAACATTTTCCTCAAGACTGTCCAGACCTAAGATTTCAATCCCAGTTTGTAAACTCCCTCTCCCAAATGCAGATTGTTAACTCAACTATAATTGATAGTCTTAGAGAACTGCCTGAGGCATTGACTTGCCCATGGTTACACAGCCAGTAGGAGTCAGAGGCAAGAAGTGAACCCAGGTCTTCCTGATTACAAAGCCAGACTACTATTTACCATGCCATACTGCCTCTAGAAACTAACAGTGAACAGGAATAGGAATAGGGGCTCAAGTGGTGAGAGTCTCTAGGAATACCTCATATATTTCCTTTTTGCGTTCATATGTTAATGATGTTCCTGTAGGATTGTTTCCATTTGGAACTGTGTAAAGAAATTTGGGGGTCTCTCTTTCAGGTTTCTGTGCATCCTCTGGTCTCCACTTGGAAAGTACTGCTCGGAGGGAATCCGGAATAATCCCATATTGGTCACTGCACACACTGATAATGTTGCAGCCCAATGGCCTCAGCTGTTGAGAAGACATGAACAAAGGAAACCCAAGGTTCAGACAAGCAATTCACTGTTTAAAAATACAAATGGCCCTGTTACCCCAACGTGGTGTTATGAAGGCTTTGCTGTTCATCGCCTAGGAGGTTCATGCTCTTGTAATTGAGCTCTGGGCAAATTACTAATTCTTTCAGGACCCAGTTACTTCATATATGATATGAGGGGACTGGACTTGATCTCTGTCTTCCAGCTCTAAATCTGGAATCCTATGATGGTAAGGAGCTGGATGGCTGAGTATGTCTCTTCTTTCTCTGGCATCCCCTTTCCAGTAAAGTGTTTTGGACATAGTAGGATCTCAGTGAACACTGTTTTGGGCCAATTATAAATTACAATTAACTGTGCAAAATGCTCTCTTTGCTAATACTAATGGCTCACATTTATAGGTCACTTTATAGCTTTCAAAGAACTTTATCACTTCTGTATTGGTGTCCATCTTTCCCCCATTCTCCACTTCTCTGAGATACAAAGAAATTCAGTAACATGCAACGGGCTCATGGTTAAGTGACAGAGAAAGGCCTCAAAGCCTGGACTTCTATTGTCAAATCCAGTGCTCTTTTTACCTGGCCATGTTATTTTATTGACTAATTAGCTACGTGCAAGGATAAATACAGTTTTATAGATGTCTAATAGTAGCCAACAAATGAAAGGAAATCAGGGGAAATGATTTGGATTCTAAGAGATACAATGAGCAAGTTACTTTCCCAGATATATTCTAAAAAAGAAAAGCAAATGTTCCTCTTAGTGGTCAAATGTAAAATTATACATTAAAGGACAACCATTCATTCTTTCTTTGTAATGCTGGGAATCTTAGGGTCATAGACCAGACCTACCATGGTTAGGTAGTTCTAATAAGTCTATCCTAATATAGTAAATTGACTAACTTTTAATATTATCAGTCACATTTAGCTTTGAATAAATGGTTTCCTTATAATTGTGTGAACCTGTACTATCTTTTTTCACACTTTTTTTTCAATTTTTCATGTTGTTAAATATAAATGTTCAAAGTAGATACTCAAAAACATTTGTTTTTCCCAAATTTTAATACTCAGGCTTAATGATTCTGGGTAAAAGGTATCAAATTTTGTTGTTGTAGTGCTCAGAGGAAAGTCCCATAAAAACAATCATATCTTACACATCTATTGCAATTTGTAAGGTGCTTTTGCTTACTTTATCACATATAAGCCTCATAACCCCTGAGTATATAGGCAAGTACTGTTATCCCCAATTTAGAAATGAAGAAGCTAAGATTCAGACAGATTCCATGGCTTGTCCAAAGTCACACAGCTAAGAACTAGTAAAGCAACAACTAGAAGCTAGGCCATGTGATTTCTAATTCAGTACACTCTGCATGATGCCACACTGCTTCCATACTGAAGATGTAGTTCCAAGGACAAACAGGAAACTGGATTTTATACACTTATAAAAGAAAGAAGTGTAGTTGTTATCACATATACTCACAGGCTGCCAGAGTCCCTGGGTAAGCAGGTGTATCCAAGAGGACATTATCTCCAGGGTTAATGAGCATCTCAAATACCTAATAAAACAGGCATCATTCAGCTTTATAACTATGTCTTCTGGATTTCCAGCAAATTTATCATATAAGAAATAATTTACTCCCATAGAGAATAACCAAATTATATATTATGGAAAGTGAATCTTTTCTTTTTTAAAATTAAGGGCTGCTGGCTTATAGAGAAAAAAAATCAGTTGAGGACCATAGAAGTAAAAAGACAAAGGTAAAGACAGAGAGGTAGACTTGAGTAACAATCCCCTCTTTGCTGTGCTAGGATAGTATATTCCTATTAATTAGCTAAAGTCTCGTCATAGTCTTGTTTTCAGATGTTTCATAGGGTAGATGGAAAAAGAGCATGCTTCAGTGAATCTTCAGTGGGGCTTTTCAGTTATTGGTCTCCAAATACTAGTTATTCCATCACCTAACTCTGGTCACCAACCAAAAGAATGTGAAGTAAAAGGAACATCAGAAAAGTGAGCTCTGGGAAAGTTAAAATGTTTGCTGCCATTTAAAAAAATCCTTTGGCATAATATAGCAATAGAAACTGGAATGAAATAGGATTGTCAGACCACAGATTTCAAGCCACTGTTAGAATATCATAATCTAAGGCAAATATGAGCCTTCATTTTTATATCTATTTCTTTTTCATTTTTCTTTATGGTACACGTTGACTAATCAGTCTCCTGCCAGTTGAGATACAGTTTACTATCTACTTTGTGTTTCACTTACAAATGACTTTATTCTGAGAGGCCCTTGTCTGGGTGTACTGGGAGCCATGATCAACCTTACACCATCCGTAGGCCACATGCTTCAGTCAGAAGGATTTGGGCCCTTATGTGAGCCCCACTGCAAAAATCCTTTTTCAATGCTTTCCCATGTTGTGGAAGTAACCATAGGTTCTCAGAGGATATGCCAGTTAAGCACAAGATCTGGGAGATTCTACTAAGTTGGAAAGGCTTCCAATATGGTCACTGTGACCAACTGCTGTGTTGGAAACAACCCAAGTGTGAAGAAGCTCAACAACAGTAGGCTGCACACTAAGTAATGAATCATTTGGCTATGAAACAGATAAACATACAAAACAGTTCTAAGGGAGTGTCCATGTAGGCAGTGATGGTAGCAGAGTGACAGAAAGGGGGGCAGAGGTGACAAAAATTACATGGGTTTTAGACCAACTAAAAACATTCCTTTAAGCATTGGTATTTAAAAAGTGAGGTTACTATACAGTGACCAAAGAATTGATATGGGAACTGACTTGCCTCAACACTAATATTCTTGTACATATAATCAGAAAATATAAAGAAGATGCAGCTGACTGTAATGATATTCTCCTGCAAAGAAATGTAAAAAAAAAGGCAATGCAAATAAAAGATGTGGTGGTATGCCATCCTGTACACAAAGGAAACAAGAAGTTTCCCTCATGGTACTGGTTAACTTTTGGTCATAGGTCATCTCTTCTAGAAGTGTTCATGATAAGTCTAGGCCACAAGATAATTGCAGTTTAAGGCAAGATCTATTGCAAACAATAAAGAAATAAAGAAATGTTTTGCAAAGGTTGATTAGATCCTCCAAAGTGGATCCTCCTATATGCCAACATATACACAGATACTCAGAGACCTTATTATAAAATGAGCACATTGGAGTATGGTGAAAAACTATGAAAATATAGTTTGAGATTAAAAATTGAGAGCAGCCAGAGGTTTCCTGCTAACTCAGAAGGTTCACATTTGTAAATCATGAACAGTTTATTCCAGAAAAGGGATCAGAACATAAGACTTCACTGTTCCTATTGTTTGTGGATTTTTAAAAAGGTAACTCAGAACAAAACGTACCCTAAAAATTGTTCTCCAATTAGGTGTACCTCCTATGCAATTTGTTAAGATCATTTAAGATTCTTTGATAGATACAACAAAGATATAACTTTGATTAACGATCTTTTGACTATACAAATCAAACAAGTTATAAAGTAGGGAGATATAGAATTCAAAGTATTCATCAATGCTATGAAGAATGTCCTCTGCATAATATGAGAGGGATTCCCTACAAATAATGAGTCTTCCAAATACTCCAGTTTGCGAATGACATTGTGCTGATTACATTAAACTCCTCAATACTATGGGACTCTTCTTTTTGTTGTGAGATCCACAATAACTACTCAAAAGAAACTGATAGAGAAAGTAATATTAGAAAGAACTACGTGAAAGAAGAATGCACATTGCCCATAGTATGACAAGCAGTTGGATGAGTAGCCCTTGGATAAGTTTACACTATAAATATTTTCAAAAAGCCTGAGTATAAGATGGATCATGAAGTAGGACTAGAAGAAGGATGGACTTGGCTGTATTTGGAAAACTACAGCACTTTTATGGAGCACCATAAACTCCAAAGAATCAAAACTGAGGGTGACCCAAAGGGTGATGGTGATACACTTGTTGGGAATAAGTCAAACTACATCAAATTACCAATGAAGAGTTGGTATCGTAAAAGATAAAACTATGTATCACTGGAAAAAAAAATGGAGGAGTCATAAAAAATGAAGAAGTAACAGATGGACAGATAGGAAATGTGGCACTAATGATCAGAGTTGTTAAAGCTTCTAGAGCAGGGGTTCTTTCTGTGTCATGAACCCTTTTGACAGACTATCAAAGTCTATGAACTATTCCTCAGATGAATATTTTTAAGTGCATAAAATAAAATGCATAGGATTATAAAGGAAATCAATTATATTGAAATATAATTGCCAAAATATTTTTAAAATAAGTTCATTGACTCTCAGGTCAAGAACCCCTGAACTACAGGAAGGGCTTCAGTATAGCAGGTAGAAGATCATGGAGGATATATGGAAGGCCATGGACAGGAAGTGGGCAGGATGAGAAGGCATGTGAAGGTTTATGATTTGCCCCTATCAATGGTCTAAGTATATACTGAAGTAATATTTATTCAGTAATGGTAATATTCTAATCAATTCTGTATTATTTGCATTGACAGAAGGAAGCAGAAGTATAAAGAATCAACCCCAAAATTATTTCTATGTGGCTTGTGCAGGCAGTCAGCAACACACATACCCCTTTCCTGTGTCATTCCCTAGTCTTTAGCCCAGACGATGACTAAAGTGGCACCAACACGAATCCAGAACGTAGATCATTCACGTATGGGTAGCCAAGAGGTGCACGTATGCATAAATACATTCAGTTCTACCTACAGGAGCCGTGTTCCTTTTAGTCTTACTTTACAAAGGCCTTCTTGGCTCCCAGTGGTGACGCACACATCCAGTTGTCCTCGCTCAGGACTGAACTGGGCAGTGGGGGGCTTGTGGATGCTTGTCTGGAACCTCTTCAGCCAGGACAACAGCTCTGGAATCCTAAAACACAAATTAAATTTCAATATTTGTTTTTCCTCAGTGCATAATTCATTCTATGTTATTCAGAAGCAAGTTTACATGTGTTACCTTGAAATTGCCTTTGGCAAGCTTGCAGTGAAAAATGTTCTCAATTCAACTCAACAGACATTTGTTAATCACCTACAATCAGCAGGGTACAATGTCGTCACAGATAAAAACAGAAGAGTTCCTGACCTCATTTCAAGGAATTTATATTACACTGGGGAAAGGTAACAGTGTATTTTTCCACTAGAGACATAGGATTATAGATTTATTTAGTTTTTAAAAACAGTATTTTACTTTCCCCCAGTTACATGTCAAGAAAAGTTTGAGCATTCATTTTTAAAAAATTCTATGTATTTGTTTTTAGTTTTCAATATTCACTTCTAAATTTTCTCCTCTTCCCTCCACTACCCCCTCCCCAAGATGACATGCAATCTGATATAAGCTACATGTGTACAATCATATTAAACATATTTCCACATTAGTCACGTTGTAGAAAAGAACTAGAACCAAAGGCAAAAACCATAAGAAAGAAGAAACAAAAAAAGGAGAAAAAATAGTATGTTTTGGTCTATATTCAGATTGCATAGTTCTTAACCTGGATGTGGATAGCATCTTCCATCATGGGTCTTTTGGAATTGTCTTAGATCCTTGTATTGGTGAGAAGAATTAAATCTATCAAAGCTATCAAATCTATCTCACGACGTTGCTGTTATTGTGTACGACGTTCTGGTTCTGCTCATTTCACTCAGGATCAGTTCATGTAAGTCTTCCCAGGTTTTTCTGAAGTTTGCCTGCTTATCATTTCTTATGGAACAATAGCATTCCATTACATCCATGTACCACAACTTGTTCAGCCATTTCCCAATTAATGAGCATCTCCTCAATTTCCAATTCTTGGCCACCACAAAAACAGCTGCTATAACTATTTTTGTACATGTGGGTGCTTTTCCCATCTGTATGATCTCTTTGGGATACAGACCAAGAAGTGGTATTGCTGGGGTAAAGGGTATGCACAGTTTTATGGCCCTTTGGGCATAGTTCCAGAATGGTTGGATCAGTTCTCAATTCCACCAACAATGCATTAGTGTTCCAATTTTCCCATATCTTCTCCAACATCTACCATTTTCCTAGCATTCATTTTTTTACAAGATTTTGAGTTTAAAATTTTTCTCCCTCCCTCCCCTCTCCTCTTCTGAAAATGGTAGGCAGTTTGATACAAAAATCTACTGAAGAAAGCAACTTCTTAAAGAGGAAAACTGGCTAAATGGAGAAGTACAAAAGCTACTTGAAGCAAACAATACCTTAAAAGTTAAAATTGGGTAAGTGAAAGCTAATGACTCTATGAGACATCAAGAATCAAACAACATAAAAAAAAAGAAAAAAGTAGAAGAAAATGTAAAATACCTCATGGTAAAAACAACTGGAAAACAGATCCAGGAGAGACAATATCAGAATCAATGGACTACCTGAAAGCCATAATTAAAAGGAGGACCTGGATAGCATCTTTCAAGAAATTATTAAAGAAAACTGCCCTGATATCCTGGAACCAGAAGGCAAAATAGGCATTGAAAGAATCTATCAATCACCTCAGAAAAGAGAACCCAAAACAAAAACTCCAAAGAACATTATAGCCAAATTTCAGAACTGTCAGGTCAAAGACAAATGATAAGTGGCTAAAAAGAAATAATTCAAATATCGGAGAGTCACAGTCAGGATTACACAGGACTTAGCAGACATAACATTAAAGGACTGGAAGTCATGGAACACGATAATCCAGAAGGCAAAGGAGCTAGGACTACAACCAACAATCACCTACCTGGCAAAATTAAACATAATACATCAAGGGAAAAAACGGTCATTCAACCAAACAGGGATTTCAAGCTTCATAAGCATAATTCATAAGGAATTTATCAAAAACATTTGACCTCCAATATCAAGACCCATGAGAAACATAAACAGGTAAAAAAAGAAAATAAAACATAGAGGATTCAAGAGAGTCAAACTATTTACATTCCTACACGGGAAGATGATACCTGTAATTCTTAAAAACTGTATTATTAATATTATAGCTAGAAGGAATATACATAGAGAGTATAAGGTAAACTTGATGGAATGACATAAAAAATTTAAGGGATAAGAAAGAGGAGTACAAAGAAGGAAGGGAGAGGTAGAATGGGGCAAATTCTTTCAGACAAAGAGGCACTAAAGAGCTATTACAGTGGAGATGAAAATGGGAGGGTGGGTGATGAGCATTGCTTGAACTGTACTCTCATCAGTATTGGCTCAAAGACAGAATAATATACACGATCAGTTGGATATAGAAATCTATTTAACCTGACAGAGAAGTAAGAGGGGAGGAGATCAAGTAAGGGAGGGTAGGGACTGACAGTAGGGAGGGCAGATCAGGGAGGTGGTAGGTAGGAGCAAAACACTAGTGAGGAGGTGAAAGGAGAGAGAGGACAAACAGAAGGAAGAATAGGAACGAAGGAAATACACAGTTAGTAATCATAACTGTAAATGTGAATGGGATGAACTCTCCCATAAAATGGAAGTAGGTGGCAGAGTGGATCAAAAACCAGAATCCTACAATATGTTTGTTTACAAGAAACACATCTGAAGCAGAGTTACACACCAGAGTAAAGGTAAGGGGCTTCAGCAGAATTCATTATGCTTCAGCTGAAGTAAAAAAAGCAGGAGTAGCAATCCTGATCTCAGACAAAATAAAAGCAAAAGTTGACCTAATTAAAAGAGATAAGGAAGGAAACTACATTTTGCTAAAAGGTATCATAGACAATGAAGCAATATCAATGCTAAATATATAGGCATCAAGCATCCAAATTCTTTGAGAAGTTAAGTGAGTTACAGAAAGAAAACAGCAAAATTATAGTAGTGGGGAACCTCAACTGTCCTCTCTCAGAACTTGAGAAATCCAACCAAAAAATAAACAAGAAAAAAACTAAGGAGGTAAATAGAATATTAGAAAAGTTAGATATGATAGACCTTTGGAATGGGAACAGAAAGGAATATACCTTTTTCTCAGCAGCACATGGCACCTGCACAAAAAATACCCATGTAATAGGGTATAAAAATCTCAAAATCAAATGTAAAAAGGCAGAAATAGCAAATATATTCTTTTTGGATCATAATGCAATAAAAATTATATTGAACAAAGGGCAGTAGAAATATGGATTAAAAATTAATTGGAAATTAAATAACCTAATCCTAAAGAATAAGTGGGTCAAAAAATAAATCATAGAAATAATCTTTGATTCACTTCACTTAAGATACACAGGTACAAAAATACAGTGACTGTGAGAGTATTGTCAAGGTTTGATTGATCGTGTCAAGCTGCATTGTAAGGTTCTGCCTCCTCAGCCAGAAGAGGCAATTCTGAAAAATCTAAATTATTAGTATTATTATGAAAATCACAGAACTATTTCCTAAACTTCCAATGATGTAATATTTGCAAAGTGCTTTAAAAGTGTCAAAACATTATTAAATGCCAGTTATTATAGGTATTGTCATTATCATTCTATCCTAAGCCTTCAAGACCAGGTAGAAAATTCTGGCCCAGTCAATCAAGCCACATTTGATCCCTAAAGGAATTCATTTTCTAGGGGCAAGCTGACAGTGGGGTGTTATGGCCAAGGACAGCATGTTCTTAATGTTGAAGGAAGCACGGATAAGTTTCTACAGAGACACATGAATAATTCTGCAGAACACAATGTTCTGAATTGCATTTTGGAGTCTCTGCTAGTGTAGAAAAAAAGAACATAGTTAATTATTAAAGAATCCTTGAAAAATGAGACTGGAAAAAATCTCAAAATCAATTAGTTATCATTTGGTCAAACTGAAAGTTTTAAGCTATGTGGAAGTCTCCAGAAAGCCTACTGTATCTTTTGGCACACTCAATAACAAAAAGAGATACTGGGGAATGGAAGGCTAGTTAACACTGGCCTGTGGTGAGTGGTAGATACTATCAAGAGTCTTCTGCTGCTGTATCCCCATTTTCAAACTCTTTACTTCTCCCAGCCCTCACATATGCCTTACAGGAAATAACTGATTAATATTTTAATTATTATCTTGAATAAAGTCACAGGATCATAGATTCAAAGCTGGAAAGGACTTTAGAGGTCTTCTAGTTCAGTGCTTCTTAAACTGTGGTAGCGACCCCACAGTTTAAGAAGCACCGAAGAGGTCATCAGAGGAAAAAGTTTAAGAAGTCCTGTAGCCCAACCCCCTCATTTTACAGATGAAGAAAGTGAGATTCAGGGAAATTAACTGACTTCCCTGAAGTGAGAAAGGTGACTTGGAAGAACCAGGATTTGAATGGAGGTCCTCTCATATCAAATCTAGTGTTTTCCATGGTACTACATTGCATCCCAACTATGTCCCCAGTGTCAATGATGAAGGGAAGTTCAGAGAAAGCAGGAAACTTAATGCATTGAGATGGGGGATTACAGAAAGAGATCAAAACGGGTAGGGAATAAGAGTGAGAAGCCAGGAAGGAAAGAACTAGAAGGGAAGGAAAAGCAGGATATTATATTGAAGAAGACAGCTTCCTTCTCCCATTCAAAACACGAGACCTATCCCATTTGCTTGTTGCTTCCAGCTCCTATTGAGAATCATTCCCACATAGCTTTTGGAGACATTAGATGGTGTTACTCTGACTTAATCTGTACACAATCTTACCAAATGATGGTCTGATGTAATCTTAACAGCCCACTCTCGCCCACAACATTCTGAGGATCACAGGCCTTGAGGCAAAAGGATTTCAGGGACCATTCTAGTCTAATTCTCTTTTTACAGATGAAGAATCTAGGACCAAGGAAAGTTACATAACAGTGCCCAACTACTACACAGGCAGCAATTGTTGGAAGCAGGAAACTTATTCTTGTATTTTACTAGCCAATACTTCATTATTTTCTAATGCAGCTTAAAATACACCTAGTCAGTGTCCATATGTGATATCCCTCTTTGTGATTAAAAAAGCAAAATAAAACAATTTTTGGTATATATGTAGAATATAATCTCCTCTCCCAGGCTCTTGGGTTTTTTTGTCCAGACCAGGGATCTTTACAGTATGGGGAACTTTGTAGATTAATAATAACACAGCCTTAAAGAATTGCCCCAGACTACTGAGAGGTTAAAATGTGATTTGTTCAGAGTCACATAGCTAGTATATGTTACAGGCATAACTTGAACCCAGGTTTTCATGACTGCTAGGCTGGCTTTCTATCAACCATGTGACACTTGGTGTATCTTAGGCTGAAAAGCTAGGACTCTACCAACCTCTCGATAGGCTGTGTTTACTAGATTTGGGATCATTTTTGTGACTGTCTTAAACACCAATATATATACCACCCACAAGTCTAGTGACCAAAGGAGTGTCTGTTTTTAGTGATTAGGAAAGAGATAGGATGACTTTAAGTGCCATCCTGCAAGATTCTGTCAAAGCTTAGAATGCCCTTAGCTTTTCTAGTAGCTACATGCCAGCATAAATCACATAAATGGTAATTTTACCATAACGAACTTCAAGCTGAGCTATATAGAAATGGCATTTTAAAAACAGAAAATACACTGATTTTGTAGTAACAATTCCATTTGTACTTAGTAAATGTGATTTTTAATGAGCAGTCAGTGACCACAAATGTAATATAGAAGTCTAACTATGAGCAAACATTTTGATTGGCAAATGTAGAATTAGAAAAGTTTCAATGAAAAAATAAGGACCAAAGATGATCTTATTCATCTTTGCATTACCCACAACACTTGGCAATGCCTTGCACATGTTCAGCATTCAATAAATATTTGTTAGATAAATAAATGAATGAATGAATGAGACAATTAAAACTGTGAGCTCCTGGAGGGAAGGGTTGGTTTTTTTTTTTTTTGGAATGGATTTGTACCCTCAACACATAGCACAGTGCCTGGCATATGGTAAGCACTTAATAAACGCTCGTCGACTTGTTTTTGTGTGCATATGTGTGTGTGTGTGTGTATAAGCTCAATATATATGTCTATACTTATATATGTTTATGCATCTAGATGGGTTTATATACTATATAGTCCTCTGATACATACTGACTGTGTGATCCTGGGACAGTCACTTAACCTCTTAGTGCTTTAGGCAACTATCTTAAGATTATATGTTACAGAGAAGGTGTTGACATTCATTAGTAAAGGAAATCTTCTCAGCCAGCAGTTGCTATACCAAAGAAATCATAAATCTAGTCTCTATTCCTATCTATATATGTATGTGTGTGTGTGTGTGTGTGTAGATACATACTTTGTATTTTATATTTCCTTTGAATTACACATTTACTTATTTGTATATAAATGAGACCTGATTTCAAATCCAGTCCCAGACACTAGCTATATGACACTGCACAAGTCACTTTACCTATTTGAATCACTCTCCTCATCTATAAAATGGGGAAAATAATAGCACCTACCTTGAAGGTTTGTTGTGAGAATCAAATGAGATAAAAATTGTAAAGCACTTAGCACAATGCCTGGCACATAAGTAGGTACTATATAAATGTTAGCTATTATTTTTGTGGTTGTTTTATTTATTTATTTGTTTGTTTATTCCCTCTCCTCCTATCCCTCCTTGAGGTCAAGCACTATTTCATTTTTTGTATTTGGAGTTCTGGTATGTAGCATATAGTAGGCACTTAAACCCCTGTTGAATTCAATTGAACTCCTAATCCCAAAGCAGGCCCATTTTGCCAACTGTGAATGAACATTGCTTTGGTAATTTAGTGGATCTCAGAACTCACTCATGTGATCTTCCTTCTACTGGTTCACACTGAAACTCAACCATGCTATGAGAACCCATCCTAGCTATTACTCTTTTCCAATAATTCCCCCATCACCAATAGTTTCCTCTCTATTATTATTATTTCTCTAATCTTTCAATCTAACCTAGATTGAAAGCTCTGTTAGAAAATACCATAATTAACTCTGCTAAGCACAGGGTTATTGCATTGCTGATACTATTGAAAATCAGGGCATAAAGTTACTGTCATCTTTTTGATAGCTACCCTGCTGTGGGAGAATACTGAAGTGCTCTCTTCATTAAATCTTCCCCAAATTCAATGGTAGTTCCATCTTCTACGGTGATCTTTGCAGTCTTAAAGGGGAAAGTGTTAGGATTTGGAGCTCCTCCAGCCAAGGAAATGAGTGATGGTGGTGATTTCAGCATCAGTTCAGCTAGAGGAAACATGAAGAGGGGTAAATGACAAAAAAAACTTTATTCCAGGCGATCACTCTTCAACAAGGAAAGTACCCAATGTGTTATAGCTTGCAAAATTGTTTCTTTCCCTCTTCAAGATACAGAAGGCTGAAAGGCCTCTTATCTTACTTCAATATATCACAAAACCTCAATTTCATTGGAAAGAGTGATCTTTCCACCAATGCTGAATGAGATCCCTGTACCCTTTGGTAATGGAATAGTTGCCTTACCTGAGTTTGAATCTACCTGTAACATCATGGGACTATGGGCAAGTCACTTCTCCCTTCACATTTATGTGTCTCAGTTTGCTCATCTGGAGTAGTTTAGTTTTCTCATTGACAACTCTAGTTCCTACTCCACGGGGAGGTTGTGAGGGTCAAAATGAGACTGCATTAAGTCAAATGCTAAATAACATCAGCTATTATTAGGTAGTCTTCAAGAATGGCCAACACTTTCAGCTTACCAATGAAATAATCGTGATCTGAAAATTGTGATCTCTTACTGTTTCACTTTTGACAATCTCCATTAACTCAAACACCACTGCTTACAAGGGACCTTTCTTGATCTCCCTCTCACTGTCTTGAAATAATTTTGTATTGGTCTTTATTTACTTTTAAATTTATTGTTATTTATATTTCTTTATTTACTTACTGTGTACATAGGAGCATGGATCTAGAGCTGGAAGGGATATTTAAAGTCATCTAATTCAAACATCTAATTTTCCAGACAAGGCAAAATGAGGCCCACAGGGACTAAGTAATTTGCTCAAGATCATACAGAGAGTGTGACATTTTGTTTCCTCCCAGTAGATACAATTTCCTTGTTTTCATATATCTAATGCCTAGACTAGTTTCTCATATATGAGAAGTGTTTGTTCAATTGAATCAAACCTTTTTACCAGTCTTGGTAAAAGTCTTCATTGTCTTCACCTATTTGTTTTCCCCTACCCACCCTCTAAAGATGTGGGACCTCTAACTGAGTGACCTAAATAAAATGTTCACAGCAGTGATCAGGAAGAGGAATAAAGGTCTAGGATAGTCAATTCATGAACAAGGAAACTAAATAACTGAGACTTGAATGCACTTGTCCAATTGTCAGAAACACCAGTGGAAAACATCTGATAACAAAGAAACCATACTCACTCAATAGCCTTATTGGAGAAGGCTTTCTTGCAGCACTCACTGCTGTGAGGAATCGGGTGTAATTCATGTTTGTAAGGGTGATCAGAAAAGACAGTCCCTTTCTTCAGTGTGTTCAGGGCTAGAAAAACAAAACAGTGAACTTCCCAGTACAATAATGCCATGTTAGGCTGACAGACTTCATTCTACACATAGCTGCCCGTCCGCTCAATTTGGTATGGTGAAACAGCAATTGATAATTAATACTTTTATAGTATTTTTATAACCTCTGGAGTAGGTGAAACAGTAGGTGACCCAACTCCTAAATGATAGAGGAAGGAGGTAACACATGATCTCTCAAAGTCATTATACAGAAATAGTTATTTAAAACTATTTTGTTAAGTTATCAAGTTATTTATTAAATATCAAAATAACTTTAAATACTAACACTAATAGCTAGCATTTATAAGGCTTGCGAAACAGTTCCTTATGTTATCTCATTTGATTCTCATAACAAACCTGGGAGGTAGGTGCTATTATTCCCCATTTTACAATTTTAGGAACTGAAGCAGACAGGTTAAGTGATTTGCTAAGAATCAAAGGACTTTTGGACTCGAAGTCCAAAACTTAACAACAACAACAACAACGACGACGACAACAAAAACCCTGAAAGATTAACAACCACTGTTATAAAAAATCTATACGGGAACTGTGATTATTGTGGCCAATCTGAGGCAGTGACAAGGTGCTGGGGGTGGGGGTAGGAGTTGTATTTAAAGTCAGAGGAGGTGGGTTTGAATCCTGGTTCTGCTACCTTGTGTGATGCCAGGTAAGTCCCTCTAGGTCCACGAGCTTTAGTTTCCCCAAATGCAAAACTCAGGGTTGTACTCGATGGCTGCTCAAGTTCCTTCTAGCTGCCAAAGCTGAGCCACAGACCTGCTCATGCAAGTCGCCTTCAATCTACGACAAGCATTTATTAGGCTCCTACAACGAACCAGGCACTGTGATATGCCCTGGGGATACAAAGAAAGGCAAAGACCCCGTACCTACCCTCCAGGGGCTCAAAGCCCAGCTGGGTAGAGTACACTGGCTTTTGTATCTTTCACGGATACGAGTGTTTTTTTTTTTTTTGATTGGCTGGGGTGGGGTGGGGCGGGGAGGATGGAAAGGAAGCCCCTGCTTTCCGGAGCCAATCAGGTTGCCCCTCGGCTTCCTGCCTCTTCCCTTGGCACCGCCCCCAGCACGCCTCTTGGAGGAACCTCTCACGTCCCCCCCGCCACTGGCCAACGGCGTGCCGCTCTCGGCTCCCCTCCCGCTCAAGCAGTCACGTGCTAATAGAATATGGCGTCTCCCTGGCTGCCCTGTGGATCGGGGACAGAGGGAAAGGGAGTGGGTAGGGGGAAGACGTCCAGGCTCAGCGCAAGGGGGCAGGGAGCACCTCCTGAGGGAAGGGAGTGGGCGTGGACTGCCCGTCCGAGCCGAAAATGATTGAAAAGCAAAAAATTAAAAGGAGCTTTTACCTCTCTCCTGGAGCTCGCAGCCAGCAAAGGTCCTTCCTTCCCGAGGAAGAGAAGAGAGGGAAGAGAGCTCTCAACGGGACTCGGCAGCCCGCGCGCGGATCCCCAGACTGAAGGAGGCTGCGGACTCCCGGGAGGCGGGAGAATGCCTTTCCAGGGGGCGCCGCGGACGCTTTGTGATTCTTTCCTGCCATCTTCTGGTCGTGCTGGGGAACGGCATTCGCTGCAATTCATTTCAATTCTTTTAACTTCCAGTTTTGCTCCTATTGTGCTCAAAGCCCAATCTAGGCCCTGAGGATGCTGAGTTCCAAAAAAAAAAAAAAGAAAAGGAAAAGAAAAACACGTTCTGACCCTACAGGGCTGACTTTCTATTGGGGAGAGAGGTGGGATCCACAGTGGAGGCAACAAGGATATATTAAACGCCTACTATGAAATAAACACTCTGCAGATTATGAGGTTGGTGACTTTGCACAGCCCTCCCTCACTTAAATCCAATTCACTTTCAAGGCAAGGCTTCACCTTTCTCATGGTATGGTCCTCTTCGAGAATGAAGGATAAACACCAACAACAAATACTTTCCACTTAGGGGAGGGGGTTGGATTCAACTGGGGGAGGCAATAGTGGAGGCAACAAGCATATATCCAGCGCCCACTATGGGGCAGACACTGTGCGGTTGAGTAAATACAGAATAAGAGAGCTGTAACTGGGTCAAAACACTTGAGCTGTGTTTTGAAGGACACGTAGGGGTTGTAAGAGATGAAGACTTCTTACACGCTTCTCTCCTCATGCACACACAGCTTATGGTAGACCACTTCTGTTGTCCACGCACAGCATGCCATTTCCCCCCCAGTCTGTGCCTTTTCATTGGCTGAACCTAGTGTCTGGAATGTCCTCCCGCCTTACCTCTGTATCTTAGGATCCCTGGCTTCCTACTAACTCCATCTCAAACACTACTTTTTGCAGGAGGGCTTGTCTTGCACATACCTATTTATTTGCATGTTATTTCTCCCAACCTTCCCCCACCCTATCCCCTATTAGATGTAAATATCCTTGAGGACAGGAACAATTTTAAGTTTTTCGGTGTATCCCTAGCTTAGCATACTATCTGGCAAATAATGCTTATTAGTAGATGTTGTTTGAACAATTCACAGCCAAACTCATAGAAAAAGCTGTCGAAATCCTCCACTTCTTTCACTCATTTTAAAAAACTCCCTTCAACCCAAGTTTTTACAGAATTAACTCTTTCCAGAGTTACCAATGAACTTTTAGAAATATTTTTATTGATATCTTTTGTTTTTACATCAGCTTCATTTCAAAATATGTCCTTCCCTCTCCCTAACACACCTGGAGAGTGATCTTTTCTAGTAAAGAATAAAGAAGAAAGAAAATAAAGTAGTTCAGCAAACTAACCTACATGTCAGCCAAGTTTGACTGCATCTACAGTGTTCTAAATCCATAAACTCTCATCTTTCAAAGAAAGGAGGGAAATATATACTCCTATTTCTTCTTCCAGGCCAGGCTGGGTTATTAAAATGACATAGTGTTCAGTTTTGATTATTTTGTTCTTGTTCTTTCCTTTTACATTTTGGTAGTTATTGTGTATATTGTTTTCCTCATTCTGCTGACTTCATTTGACACCAGTTCAGAAGTGTTACTATGCAGTTCTGTATCTTAATAGCTATTATTGTGATATTCTGTTACATTCATATTCCATAATTTATTCAGCCATTTCCCCAATCAATTGACATCCTTTTGTCTGTAGTTTTTTGCTACTGAAAGAAAATGCTGCTTTAAATATTTTAAATGCATAGCAGTGGGATCTTTGGGTCAAAATTATGGATGTTTTAGTCATTTTCTTGTAATTCTAAATTACTCTCAAAAGTGGTTGGAGCAGTTCACAGTTTGACCAATATTCCATCAGTGTGTCTGTCTTTCTATGACCTACTAATTCATGATTCTTTAATTGCCAAATCTAATGGCCTTTCTTGAGTGCTTGGCAATATTTGATACTAACTACTCTTTCCTCCTGCTTACTATCTCCCCTTGTATTTCTCATTTGACCTATCCAAACTTAGTGTCCTTTGCTGGATTATCTTCCATGTCCAAAAGAATGTAAGCTCATTGAGGGCATAGGCTTTTAAATTTCTACCTGTAGCCTTTCCATCTACTGAACCATGAGTGACCCTGAGAGGCTCAACTCTATCCAGTGTCCTGATGAGGACAAGGCAATAGTCCTAGTGCCACTCTGGGAAGAATTTATTCCCGTCCTTTCTGGAAAATCATTCCTGATCAGTATCATCCCTGAACTCCTGGAAATGAATCCAACATCTAGTGGAAGAATGAACCTTTGCCTCCCTTTAGTCTTATGTTATAATTTCATCCAATCACACAGAAAGGATCTCTTTTCCTCTCCTCTTCTCTCCTCTCCTTTCCTCTCCTCTTCCCTTCACTTCTGTTCTCTCCTTTTCTTTTGTAGGTAATAGGGAATTTAAGTAAGAGTGGATGACATGGTCAGTACTGCACTTCAGGAAAATCATCTTGACTGCCTAGTGGAAGATGGATTGGAGTAGGGAGACACTTGATTTGGGAGATCAATAGGAAGGAAGGAGGGAGGGAAATAAACATTACAAATATCCATTCATTTGATCCTGACGATAACCTTGTGAGGTAGGTGCTATTATTGTTCCCATTTTACAGAGGAGAAGTTACTTGACCAGAGTCACACTCTAGTAAATGTTTGAAGCCAAATTTGAACTGAGGTCTTTCTGATTCCAGGCCCAATGTGCTATCCACTGCACCACCTATGTGCTTGTATATAGTCTAGATGACAGATGATGAGGACTGGTGAAAGAGTGTTGTATGAGTGGAGAGAAAGGGACATATAGGAGAGTTATTCTGAAAGTAGAAATAATAAGATTTGGCAATAGATTAGATGTGTGGGATGAGTGAGGAGTCAAGGATAATCAGGAGGCTGAAGAAGCATCACTGTGTTAGTAAATGTTTACCAATTGACTCTCTGAAAAAATACGTATACAGGATACACTTTTGAGTTTAACCTGCATTATTAACATTTTCTCCATGACCTTCTTAAGTCTAGAGAATTAACAAAACAAATCAATCTCTGATTTCTAGCATTTGCTGATTTCCTAAGTGTAAATATTCTCACCTTGAAAATTTAACAATTAGTTTTGACTCCAGCACAATTTGAAAACAAGGGAGGTGTTTTAAAATTAGAATTTTTAAAAAAAAATTTTTTTGGCAGGGGGGAGATAAGTCTGGGACTCTTGTCTTAGTTTTGCATGGATGAAAGGGGATTTAACATTTGTGTCTGTATCTAGTGTCATCAAGATGCCTAAGGAAACAAAAGGTCATTTCTGAGAGGATGGAATAAGTTGTGGGTGGGCAAGAGTGCCTTTAGAAATGCAAGAAAGTGGAAGCTGTAGTTTGCCCCAGAAAAGTAATCTGAAATTATTACTTATGTCCCCTTTCTGAAATTGCCTATTTTCCTATGTTTGACTCTCTTTCTCTGTCCCCCCCCCCTTCTCTCTCATTCATTCATTGTGGGAAGTATTATGGAAGGTTAGAAGAATCAAAGAATGGAAATTTTAAAGAGTTAAAAAAATTGGTGAATGGGAAATTCCAACACCAGAATTTCAACATAGTATGGGACAGGATAAAGTTGGGTTTCTGCAAGCTTTGGCAGGTCCACACTGAGTAAGTACAGTGCCAGTGATATATATTAATGGAATTATAGTGCCAGTGATATATATTAGTGGTCTGATGACCAGATAAGCCAAGTACAGAGGAATTCATTATTTAGGCAGTGTATTTTTAGCTACAGTCAGTCAAAGAGACACTCCAGTATAGAAAGGTTTTCATCCGCAAATGTGGAGAGAAGCTGCATATTCAGGAAATCACAGATCCTTGAGGTCCTGAAGAAGTACAGTATATTGAAGTATAAATTGTGAAATTTAAGCCACAAACCATTGGGGTTTCACTGTGTTTGTTCCTGTCCCTTAGTAGGTAATTAAATTGATTGTGACTTGTACTTTCTGTTTTGTAAGCATTTTATTTATAAATTCCACTGCAGGTTAAATACCTATGCAAATTAAACATGATGCAATATCTGAGTATGGAAAAAACTGAGGCACTTAACAAACAGACATCAGAAAGTGTTTCTTCACCACATGAAAATATAACCTTGTATTCTGCCTTGTTTTCGTAAGTCAGAAAAATGCTTGGAGTATTTAGGAAAAGGTCAGGCAAATGATTTTAAGTAATTTTTCAAATGTCCAGTATTAATGGCTTATTATTAATTACTTACTAACAAGGTTTGAGGGGCAGCTAAGTGGTATGTTGGATAGACCTCTGGTCCTGGAGTTAGGAAGACCTGAGTTAAAATTCAATTTCAGACATTTACTAGCTGTATGAACCTGGGCAAGTCACTTAACCCTGCTTGCCTCCATTTACTCATCTGTAAAATAAGCTGGAGAAGGAAATGGCAAACCACCCCAGCATCTTTGTTGAGAAATCCCCAAATGCAAAAAGCAAATCAGAAGGGGGGAGCCAAGATGGAAGAGAGAAGCCAGGAA